TCTGGGCCCCTCAGCTCAAGAGAGACAGGGAACGGCTTGAGAGAGTCCAGCGCAGAGCCACAAAGATGATGAAGGGAGTGGAACATCTCCCTTGTGAGGAGAGGCTGAAGGAGCTGGGTCTCTTTAGCTTGGAGGAGGCTGAGGGGTGACCTCATAAATGTTTATAAATATATCAAGGGGGAGTGTCAGGAGGATGGAGCCAGGCTCTTCTCAGTGATGTCCAATGACAGGACAAGGGGCAGTCCATACAAGCTGGAACACAGGAGGTTCCACAAAAATATTAGAAAAACCTTTTTCCCTGTGAGGGTGACGGAGCACTGACACAGGCTGCCCAGGGAGGGTGTGGAGTCTCCTTCTTTGGAGACATTCAAAACCTGCCTGGATGTGTTCCTGTATGACCTACTCTAGGTGATCCTAGTCTGGCAGGGGGGTGATCTTTGAAGGTCCCTTCCAACCCCTAACATTCTATGATTCTGTGTAACTGCAGCATAGTTGTGGACCATTCTGTAGCCTAAGTTGCTTTCCTTTTCTATCCCAATGTTCTCATCAAATAATGAGATGTAGAGGCTAAAGCCAGATGGAATATATTGAAAATTCTTCCTCCTTCCTTACTTGGAATATAATTAGTACTTCTACAGGAAAGTTCAGTCTCCAGTTTGAGAATCACTTGGTTGGTCGAAATTATTGATGCTGATGAGATTACTTGTGTTTAGCAAAGCTTGAAACTTCTAATGAACTTTGAAATCCTCTTGTTTTTCAGACTGAAAACCTAGAGAGTACAATAACCATACCTGATATCAGATTACACAGCAACCCTTCAGCTTTTAATGTTTACTGCAATGTCCGCCATTGTGTGTTGGAGTGGCAAAAAAAGGAAGCGTCTGTATCTTTAGCTTCAAAGAACAGCGTCCAGAGTGGGGATTCGGACAGCGATGAAGAGGAGGAATCCAAAGAGCCGCCTATTAAACTTCCAAAGGTAAGTAACTGGATGCTGTTTCAAGAGTGCCGTGTACACGATGTAGGGTTGGGATGTTCTTTGTGGGGAGTAAAGAGCAGCATTAGAAGCTGACTGCTTGGAAAACGGCCATGGTTTTTATTTGTAGTCCATCTAGTCCAGAATAACCTGATTTGATGAATTAGATCAGTGTGCCTGCCCAATGATAAAAGTCAATTTTGTAAGTGTAAGGTGAACGTTCAACTTGCATTTCTTTGTAAGTACTGGTACTTGAAAATAACTTACAGCCTCAAAAGTCTACACAAAATGCAAATAAGGCAGCTCTTATGTCTACTATCTGACTATGATAAAAGGTGCTTTCTTTTGATTTACCCCCCAAAAGAATAAATCTTTCTGCTGTTGGAATTCAGTTGATGAAGTGTTTTATAAGATAATTCACCAAGTATATGTGTACTTGCAGTAACTTTCAATTTTTTGAAACTCCTTCATCTAATGGAAAATCAGTTGAAATCATGCTGCTTTCTATGCCCCTTAGGTTGATTTAAAGTGTTCTACTGAAGCATTATTTTTTTAATTTCCAACTGGAGGAAGTCAAATTTGTTAGAACTTTTATTTAGAGTACCTTTCAGAACTAAGAGTTACCCTATGCGATCTATATAATAAGATTGATAACAACTCTTTTTAACAGTTATTAAGAGACAGAGACACAATTTGCTGGTCTTCAGATATTAGCCCAGTAAAGTTTTCATTTTGTTTGTGTTTGGACAGCTGAGTAACTTGCTTTGATAGCTTTAAATTTTTGGATTTGCAAGACAAATTTGCCTTTTCTTGACTTATTTAGTGCCTTGCTAATGATGAGGAATTTTCTCTACTGAAACAGATTCAGTTCGTCTGATCTGTTATAGTTTGAGTTACAAGGAAGCATTTCTCCTTGCCAATGTTACACTTAACATTGGGTTATGGATGATCCACAAAAGCCTGTAGTAAAAGGACCAAATGCTGGATTAAGGTGATTAAAGTGGAATTAACTTGCTTAAGTATTCTTTGTTCCTGCAGTGGCATACATTTTGCTGTTTAGCTTAAGTTAAACTGAAAATTTTCAGGTTTTAACAGAAATTAAAATAAAAATAATTGCTTCCTTTAGAAACTGACTTTAAGTCTTTCAAAATTCATTAGGAGAATGTGTTACCCATGTAAACCGTTTGGGGTTTTTTTTCTGTATGTATATAATATACATCTAAATTAATGCAGAGTATTAAATGTACAGAGTATTAAGTATTCTTAAATAAACATTGAAATGTGAGTATTGGGCAGTTATAAGAGAGGCAAGACAAAGGGAATAAAAACAGTGCTGTAGAAAAGACTTGTTAAAGAAATAAGATGGGGGGGGGTTAAGGAATTAATTATGGATCATAGTGTCTGCATCCAGGCTCAAATTTTGTGTCCCTTTGTAAGGTGAGCTTACGCTTTCCCTCCAAAGTCTCAAAGATGCTGCAAAGGGAGCACAGGGGTGGCTGCTTGGAGAGCTGGCAGGCTGTGACACAGGGGTGAAGTGGCAGCAGGGCTGGGTTTGGCTCAGAGACTCTTCAGAGAGCAGCAAAAACAACCTTGAGATGTGATGGAAAGAACTGTGTGCTTATTCTGTCCTTCAGTGCCATTTGGTGGAGTTCACTGAGATGGACCCACATTATATGCATGGGCGGATGGGCCCAAAGAGTGGTCATCCATGGAGCTATATCCAGCTGGCGGCCAGTCACACGTGGTGTTCCTCAGGACTCAGTGTTGGGACCACTTCTATTTAACATCTTTATGGATGATCTTCATAAGGATGTAGAGTGTATCATCCGTAAGTTCGCAGATGACACCAAGTTAGGGGGGAGTGTTGATCTGCACAAGGGTAGGGAGGCCCTGCAGAGAGATTTGGATAGATTGGATCAATGGGCAAATGTAAATGGGATGAGCTTTAACAAGGCCAAGTGCCAGGTGCTGCGCTTGGGCCACAACAACCCCCTGCAACGCTACAGGCTTGGGGAAGTGTGGCTGGAAAACTGTCTGGCAGAAAGGGAGCTGGGGGTTCTAATCAACAAGCATCCGAATATGAGCCAGCAGTGTGCCCAGGTGGCCAAGAAGGCAATGGCACCCTGGCCTGTATTAGAAACAATGTGACCAGTGGGAGTAGGGAGGTGATTGTCCCCCTGTACTCTGCACTGGTGAGACCACACCTTGAGTATTGTGTCCAGTTTTGGGCACCTCAGTACAAGGGAGATAACAAAGTGCTGGAGCAAGTGAAGCTGGTGAAGGCCCTGCAGAATAAATCTTATGAGAACGACTGAAGGAGCTGGGCCTGTTCAGTCTGAAGAAGAGGAGGCTGAGGGGAGACCTCATTGCTCTCTACCACTACCTGAAAGGACATTGTAGAGAGGTTGGTGCTGGTCTCTTCTCACAGTTAATTGGCAGTAAAACTAGAGGGAATGTCCACAAGCTGCAACAGGATAGGTTTAGGCTGGATGTTAGGAAAAAAATTTTCACAGAAGGAGTGGTCAGACATTGGAATGGGCTGCCCAGGGAGGTGAGTGAATCACCATTCCTGGATGTATTTAAAGGTCCTTTAGATGTGGTGTTGGGGGATATGGTTTAGGGGTGAGCTTTGTAGAGTAGGGTTAATGGTTGGACCCGATGGTCCCAGAGGTCTTTTCCAACCTGAATTGTTCTATGATTCTATAGTTCTCTCTATATATGCATATATATTATTAAGGTTAAAGAGTCCTGTTTTAAGACGGTTGATCTCTGATACTAAAAAGAACAAACAACACCTGTGTGCATCAGGCAAAATCCCAGCAGAGCTATTCACTGTGGATTTCTACTGTAGTGGAAGTTCACCACATTTTCTCCAATGTGTTAGATTATCTGCCTTCTCCAGCTGTCTCTGTCGGTTACTAGGTGAATCTTCTATCTGAAGATCAGGAAGAATACAGTAAACTTCTCGGTTTCTCTCAAAAGTACAGTAATTGAAAAGAAAGGGTATTTCTAAAAATGTGCTGCAGTGTATTTTATTCTTTAACCTGCAAAATGGTGCTGAGTTTTGGATTGTGGGAAAAAAACCATCTGTGCCGTTATTCTCTTAAGAGCTTTTTTTTTCCCTGTAGATTCCATGCATGTGTCTTCCCTCACACTACTGAAGATATAAAATGTGAGGTGTAATTTGCAGGCAAATTGGTGTTGCATTTTGAAGACTTGATTTGATTATTTTTCTATTCTTCCTCCAAAAAACAAACAAGTGGTAAAATAACTTCGGAAAGATAAGATGTGAAATAAATTGAATGACAGCACAGACAGTTAAAAGGCATTCAGTAGAACTTACAGCTGACTGTCAGAATAAATGTTTTAGGGATGAGTGACAATTTCATTACTAATTTTTGTTTATTTTCACATTTAAGTCTTTTTCCTTAGATTTTGGTGTGAATCTGTGTTACATTCTATAAACATTGAGGCCCCACTCCTGACAGAAACACATAGTGAAGTTCTGAACATAGGGTTTCTTGTGTGCAGTGAGTTAAATGTGCTCACTTTTCTTTCATCCTCATCATTATTACACACTGAGATTGAGAAGGAAGTGAAAAGGAACAGTCTGTGGAGAGGAGCATAAATGTAATCTCAGAATATTCAGGAATTTTAAAAGGAAAAGTTAGAGGAATGGCTGTTAACAGCGCTTTTGTGAATGTTGTATTACGTGGCATAGTGCATGTCTGTCGTGAGTACATATGGGGTTTTAGGGACAAGTAATTATTCTTTATTTTTCATATTGTAACAAAAACAATCTCAGAGGGGAAGGTACTAGTGCTGCTGGTATCAGCTGTCAAATGTATCAATGCACAAGCTGGGAAGTCAGGTTGCAAGTAAGTTCTAGCTTGCTTGTTCACATTTACGAGCAACGAAAAAGAGGTCTATTGAAGTGTGAACTTCATAGAAATTATTAGAAGGGCTCAGAGGCACAGTTTATCTTTCATTGTCCAAAAAAATGTTTAAGTTTCTTTTTTTTTCAGGCAACTATTGCTCTGCTCAGTTATGCTCTTTCATATATGACATTACTTCTGTGTAATATTTGCTAGTACAATTGTGTACATGGGTTCTTAATTTTGATTTTCCTTTTCAATTACCATTGTATTCTGTATTACGTTTTTGTTATTCAAATAACTGTCTTGTTCTACGAGCACTGGCATATATCTTTATTTGTGAAGATCCAAAAATATTATGTTAACAGATATTCTGAAATATCTGTACTTCTTTAGATCATTGAAGTTGGATTATGTGAAGTCTTTGAACTGATCAAGGAGACAAGATTTTCTCATCCAACCTTGTGTCTCAGGAGCCTACAAGCCCTACTTAATGTGCTCCAGGGCCAGCAACCAGAAGGCCTGCAATCAGAGCCTCCTGAAGTCCTAGGTAATATCTCATCTGTTCCTTTATTTGTATTAACATACATCTGTTATTTTCTTAGATAGAAGAAAATTGTTCCTAGCAAGTATTTGTGACATGGTAACATGCTTGTTCTCAACTGACTAACTTTATTCTGAAGTGTAAACTCCTTATGGTGTGTGGAATCAGTACTCTCTCAGCGTTAGTATTTTGTAGAACAAGAATGTTGACATGTAAAGGTGCACGTGTGTGTATATATATAGTCATATATTGTTGGTGTGTAATGCAGAGTTTCACTCACAGCCTCACAAACTGTGATTCATTTATCTTACTGAAGCTATAAAATACTTGGATTTATTGAAAAAAGATAGTTCTACAGTGAACTTCTCTTGTGATCTACTGTTGTAGTCTATAGATTAGATAGTTAATGCTGTAATTTATATAAAGCTGCTCAACAAAGTGTCGGAGTTCATGCTTTTATTTCCTCTGGCCACTCAAAAGAAAATGAAAGTTGAACTTCTAATGGCTTTGAGTGTATGCTTGATTATGTCCTTTAAGTTAAAATCCAATCACCTTTTGTTAACTCAATAGTTTTTACTGGGTTATAGAACAGCAAGGAGGGCTAGACTATAGCATCTATTATTTAAAAAAAGATTTTAAAAAATCTTAAGATGTTCTATGTATGTTTACCTCTATTATGGCTCAACAGTATTCCATTTCCAAAGATGATAGTAATTTGTGGCAGAAAGTTTTTATTTCGTATTGATGCACAGAGTATTAAAAAGCTACAAAGAAAGCTTTGTGTTGATTACTGCCTTAGTGGTTATTTGTATATACTGTCAAAAAAATGGAGGCAGATTTCCGTTCACAACTTGATTATTACAGATGTTCAGCCACTAAACAGTGCTTGAAAAGGGACATATGATCAAAATAATTTTCAAGCTTTGATTTGAAACGCTCGTTTCTGAGAAATTGGATGTGCTTTAACATAGGTAATGGTCTTAAAGATTAAAAAAGTTTGATCAAGGCCTGCACATCTCAGTGATGAGGTAAACTGTATAGGCAGGTAAAGTAACTCCTCCTGGCCCATTTCTTAATAAAATGTTCCACTGTAACAGAAGGACTTATTTTTTTCTTGTTCTTTGGATGTTGTGATTATCAAGACTCAAAGTTTTCTGGCTGAAAAAGAATGAGGAATTAAGGATGTTTTAGGCCTATTTGAATGGGATGTTTTCTCTTCTGTCTGTAAATAGCTGAGGGAAGATGTATCATGTGTTTTGCAAGTTTAATCCCACTATCTGCCAAATTGCTTGGTATAGTTTTGCGACTTGCCTCTGTAATTGTTGTGTTTTATCTGCAGAATCCCTGTTCCAGCTTCTTCTGGAGATAACTGTCCGTAGCACGGGAATGAATGACAGCACAGGACAGTCCTTGACAGCACTTTCCTGTGCTTGCCTCTTCAGTTTGGTAGCTGCGTGGGGAGAGACGGGAAGAACGTTGCAAGCAATCTCTGCGATCCTAACCAATAACGGCAGCCATGCTTGTCAGAGTATTCAGGTCTTGTGCTAAAACTTCTCTGTATCTGGGAATTTATGTCAATGACGTGTACATGGATTCTGAGAAGCACTATTGTGTAAATTCAGTTAATGCTATTTTTGAGATGAAAGTAGGTATTTTTTTGTCTCCCTTGAGTTGGAGATAGAACAGAAGATGTAACATATAAAACCAGTCGTGTTTTTCACTCACTTGTTTCTTTCACTGTTTAGGTGCCAACCATTTTAAACTCTCTTCAGCGGAGCGTGCAGGCGGTTCTGGTGGGCAAAATCCAAATTCAGGATTGGTTCAGTAATGGGATAAAGAAGGCGGCCTTGATGCACAAATGGCCATTGAAAGAAATATCTGTAGATGAAGATGACCAGTGCCTACTTCAGAGTGATGGTTTTTTCCTCTATCTCTTATGTAAAGATGGACTTTACAAAATTGGCTCTGGATATAGCGGAACAGTGAGGGTAATGCGATTTCTTCTTATTTGACAAGTGAATATTTTAACTTGCCTTTTATGTGTTGCCTGATCTGGTAGAGAAGTGGCGTCCCTGGTGACAGGGAGCTGGATTAAAGTGATCTCTAAGGTCTCTTCCAGCCTAGGCCGTTCTATGATTCCATGATGATGTCCTGTTTCCATTGAGAATCTTTTGTAGCTTACTAATGATTAGTTCTTTTACAGTTTATCTAAACTTTTCTGATTATTTCTATGCTAATTTTACAGTACAATTTTTATTTCTCAATAAGGTTGAAGGCATTTTTATTTATGTGGTAAATGATTCTGTGTAAAACGGTCACTCTGGTATTTAAGTGATTGGAATTTGCTTTTCAGGGCCATATATACAATTCTACATCCCGCATCAAAAACAGGAAGGAAAAAAAGTCTTGGTTAGGCTACGCTCAGGTAGGTGAACATTTATAACATGTGCACCTCACCCCCCATCCCTCATGAGCAATTGAAGTGCACCTTGGTTTAGAGTAAGCTTACATTGATATTGTATTGTTCCTTTGGCTTTAGTTATAGAAATCAATTTTTTTGGTACTTGCTTTTAAATTGTGGAAGATGAGGAACATCTGATGGTACTGGCATATAGAAAAGAGTATTGAAAAGTGTCATTGATTTGTGTGATCACTGCAAAGACTTTCTCAAAATATGGTGGTTTAACATGGAAATTTATGAATTGTACAGTCAATTGATATGTGTGTCTTAAAGTTAGTGGATGTAAAAATGTCCTATTTCAAAGAAATAGTGTAAAAAAAACTCTTGCAGCATCTATTTAGGAAAATAAATTTATTTTAAAACATGTGGTAAAATAAACAAATACTATTTGTGTTGGAAAAGGATTGAGAGTGTGTAAAATGTAAGTAGAGATAGTGGTTGATGTTGCTGCTGCAAAGTTAACTGTATTTGGTTATTCTGGCTTTCGTGGGCTTTTTTTGTTTGTTTGTTTTGGGAGGTTTTTTGTTTTGTTTTGTTTTATTTTTAGGGTTAGTAATTTACAGGAATATCAACCATCTTATACCTTTGGCATTCATTATAAAAATAGCGGCGTTTTTTTAGAATCCTATTATTGCTGCTGAGTACTCTCTCATAAAAACCCCACCAAATGCAAACTAAGCAATAAACCCCACCACAAACCCAAAAGTAAATTTCAGAGGACAATGGATTTAGTTCATTTAACTACTGACCAATTTCTGTTATGTGTTTAGTATTAACTGATCTCATTCTCCCAGCGTGAAATTAAGAGCACCCCTTGCCATGCTTTTGAAGTGAAATTGTTACAAATAATGTATATGTCTATACACACTATTTTTGCAGCTACATACATACACATTTAGCTTAGTATTAAAAGAGATTACCAAAAGACCTACTGGCACAACACAAACGTGTGCGGATGCATTCATTCAAGAGTCTGTTCTATCAGTTTAGAAAAGAATAGGATCCGTACTGCTCCACTATATATAGAGTTACACGTTTGGACATTCTGTACATAGCTATAAATGTTATAAATTATGCCCTTCTTTGAGTGCTTGTATAGTTCTATGCACTTGCACGGTGACTGTACCCAAAGGCACTGCCAGTTGGAAAAATGTCGCTCTGGGGCTGTATTTATAGGAAGATGGGGACTTTGCACTTGCTGCAAAGTGTGTGTCTGTGAAAGAGGTAAGAGGTGCTCTCAGTCTAATTTCCCTTCAGGTGCTTGGTTAAGTCAGCTCAAATTCAAGTGATTTTTCTTACCTCTTCATATGAGTTCTTTTAGACTGGAGCTTTTCTGTCTGCTTTAATGCTCTTATATTTCCTAGTTCTTGTGGATTTGTTTTTCCTCATTTAATTTCCTCACTTATCCAGGAAAATTCAAATAGCTGAGATGGAAGGAAAAGGGCAGTTGGATTTCTCTGTTTTCTTAGGTGATTGTGATTAGGGTCTCTGACTCTTTGACAAATGAAGGTATTCTGAGGTTAAGCCTTAGTGACCTCTCTGTAAAATGCATCCGTTCTTAGATGTGTAGAATCCCCACCTGAGGCCAATCATGCTTGTAAATGCCCTTAAGTAATCTTTTTTTCCTTTCCTGTAGCTGCTTTTATAGCAGAAATGCTTTCTAAGTGTAAATTGCCCAACTGTGCTTCTACCCTGCTCCCACAAAAGTCTTCATAGAGTTCACAGACATTGCAGGATTGAATCAGGTATGAGAGCAAAGATGCCACGTCGTCGCTCTTGTGGATCTGTGCACATTATGCAAACGTGGAGGCTTATGCAACCTATCTCGTTTAAGCTAATGCAAAACTTACTTGAATGTGTTTCAAAGTGTGTTCAAAGTTATAGATATGAAGAGTAAACTTTAAATGTGAATTTCAGGTAGGCAAATCTTTTTATTGAGAAACCTGAGCTGGTGACTGAATTAAACTTTTAAAAATCTATATGCAATAATGTGAAAATATATATGAACGGAAAGAAGATTCTATTTTGGTATACCAAAGAAGACTTCTTGATGTGGGCTGCTGAGCAGAATATAGGTAATTGTTGGGAAATGAAAGATATTCTGCACATGGAGAAACAGAAAGAGGAATTTATTAGTCCTGAATATCTCTCTTCCCTGAGGTCTGTTTAGGAGTTGGGAGGTGAGCAGTATAAAAACTCATTCTGTGTAGCCTTATGTCATGGCTGCTGTCACCAAAATCACAAACAGAATAATTACATGAGATCTTGTTAGTGTGGAAGTAACAGTAGTTCATATTTGTGAAAAATGTGGTAGTTTTTAATGCACATATTGTTAATGAATATTAATCATGCTTATATAGGGCAACGTATGTATCTCCTGCCGGGAATTCCTGTCAATCTTTGGTTGATTTGGAAGGTGGAGACAGGAACATTGGGTTTTACTGTGGCTGCAGCTTTTTAACTGTAATTGTACGCACAAATGAAGAACAGAATTGCTGCATGTGGCTTCAAAAGCTATATACGAGCTTCAGCACGCAGATTAGCCTTAAAAAATGTGGATGAAAGGAGTCAAACTTCCATATTTTATTGCAGAATTTGATTAGTGGAAACAAGTTGATTATCAAAATGAAGCAAATGTGATGTGGAAGTAAAAGATTTCCAAAATTTTTAAATGATACCTAAAATAACGATTGCCTTTTTTTTTTTTTTCACTTTCGACAATATCCTTTGATGCATTTAAGAATATTTTTCATACGTATATTCTTATTCTTACCAGGGTTATTTATTATATAGAGATGTGAATAATCACAGTATGACAGCCATAAGAATAAACCCTGAAACTTTGGAGCAAGATGGTACAGTTGCTTTGCCAGGTAAGAACCTTTAAATATGAGAAGATGCTTCTAATTTATTTTTACATGGTCTGTATTTTCAGGTAAGCAGAAGAGAAATTGAGACATGTCTTGAGATCACAAAGAGTTTGCTTTTTTTATTAGCTTGGTTTACTGTAGTGTTTTATTCAGAGGTCTTGCATCTCCAACTAATGGAAGACTATTGCAATGTTTTACAATGTGTGGTTGTCTTGATCTGAAAACTTGAAGAGCTTAACTTCTTTCTTAAAGAATTGTTATTTCTTCTTCTTTTGAACTTCAAGCATTTGGCTCAGATATGACTTTGTTTCCAGTATCTTTTACATTTAGGTAGTTACAAACTATGACCAAAACCATTTTTTGACAGGGGTTGAGATGTATTCAAAAAACAAAAGGAGACTAGTGAACACTGGGACCACATTTCTGATGTTTAAGTTGACGATGGGTTTTTGTTTATTTGGTTTTTGATTTTTTGGTAGGTGTTTTGTTTTTCTGAGGAGTCTCATAACTTGAGTCTCAGTTTAGTAAATTAGAATGTTCCTGAACATGTCTTAGTGTTCTTGGTGAAAACACGTCTATTCTTAACCACTCACATGAACAGTAGAAGGGCACAAGAATTATCTTTCAATCGAACAATGACAGGCTTACTCTATAGACCAGAAGACACATTGTGTGTGGGATCCTGACTGAAACCTCAGAAGAATTCTCTAGGCTTTCTATATTTCAAACACAGTCATTTTGAAACAACCTATGAAGGCAGAATCTAGTCTATGCCACTTTCTGCAAGTCCTTAAAATGTCAATATCTGTTTAAACTACTCAGTCTTTGTGGGGCTGTGTGAGAAATTTGAGAGCACATTCAGGGACCTGACAAATTGCCCTGCAGCATTGTTTTTTCACCTCAAGGCAGCTTCTTCAACCAGTAGGGTGCTTGGAGGTCCTTGCTACCATTGGTAAACAGATCAGCGCGCTTCAGTGCAAGTCCTGAGAGACACTTGAGCACATTTAAAGTCTGCACCTCTGAGCTGTTAGCTTTCTTTTGCAAATCTCTGTGACAAGTGTCATTCTGCGAGACAGCCTTCTGTTTATACTATAAAAAGGCACAAATTCAAATAAGAGTCTGCCTTCTAAACAAAAATGTATCCTTTCAGTGCAAAAGCAAATATTATAACTGACACTACCCACTCAGAAATCCCTCAAACTGTTTCACACCATTGTATTCATATGGTTTGTGATGATGTCAGAGGGGATGCTAGATGTTCTTCATAATACCTATCCTTTCTGTTTCAGCCCTTGAACTTTGCTCTTTTCCTGTTTTGCACTTGTGCAGATTTATCTTAGTGTTATATAGGGAGCAGACAGGACTTTCTTTTGGCCAGGACAAATTCAGAGGGATCCCCTTCTGGTTATTTTGTTTTTCTGGTTATTTTGTTTTTCCAGATATTTGGTTTTCCGGTTATTTTTTTTCCTGTTAGAAGGTAAGAAATGAGGTTTAGGGGAGGTTATGTGACCTATCCTGAGGAAACTTGAGTAGGTGTATACGTAACTCTAAGTAGTAGGGGCTACCCCACTATGATCTTAGTTACTTGCAGCGTGTTATAGGTCTGAAAAAACACACCAGATAGAACTCTAGGGCAGTAACCTTGCTAGCAGCTGAACCCTAGTATGACTCTAACTGTTTCCTCCTAGTTGGTGTGGTATTCAGACACGGCTCTAACTGGAGTTCATCTCTTTCAAATGTCGGGGTTGGTGCTAATACATTTAAATAAGGTATTCATATTTATTCGTACAGGGATGTTTAGGAGATTAAGAGTTCATTAGAGATGTGATCAGGAGTTGATCCTAGCAACAAGTCATGTGACCTTAGAAAACTGAGTGAATTGTGAAACGTTGTCTTCTCCTTTCTCAGACAGGATGGTCCACCAGCTTCTTGAAACCATAAACTTCTTTTCCAAAGGGTAGTCTTTCCTCTCTGATAGATGTTCCAGATACGTTGTCAGATTTGCTAGATTAGATCTACTAGACTGTCTGTCAACATTCCTGTATCTAATGACTTTGCCAAGCTTCATACACTGTCCTTGAGCTGCAGAGCTGTCTTCCCAGTCCAGCTATCATAAAAGAATCTCAAGAGATGCATGAGATTTTCTTAATACTTACCAACTACCTAAAGCCTTTCAGAAATGTCATTTGGATTCTTGTTGGAAAGTCTCTCTGAGTTATTGACAGCTCTTTGCCCTATCACTAATAACACTGTGTAGCATAGAGAATTAGTGAGCTGGCTTTGGTCATTAAATACGTGATTATTTTTGAGATGGCAGTATTTCGGTGTATCTGCAATTCTCCATCCTGCTCGGTACTGTACCCTCTTTGTCATGCATACTTGTGCGTGCTTTGAGCAGGAGTTTATCTACTTTACGTCTGTCAATTCAAGAGATGAGAATTAGAGAAGATCTCCTAATGCACATTCTATTCCTGGTAAAACACTATATTGGACTGGGCAGTATAGCAGGAAAAAGTAAACAAGTCTATGGATTTGTGAACACTGTGGGATTTTTTTAGCTGTATTTTAATGAAACACTCCAGCTAAATAGCAAGAAATAGCAAATTGCCTGGTTATGCCAAAAGAATATTGTGTGCTTCATTTAGCATTAAATTTATTAGATAAAATGACTGATGCTGGATCTTTGCTCAGGTTATGAAAAAGATATTTAGAGTGTAAAGTATTTTTTTCAAGAGGTTTCTTTTCTCTGTAATCAATGAAGCAAGCACCTTACAAGCCGTATCATATCAATCTCTTTGTTAATAGCTCCATCAGCAGAACAGGAAGAGTCATGCTTTTAAACTTGTAGAGTTAGTCCTTTTCTTTTTTCCCCTAATATGGGCAGAATTCTTTTCATACGTTTTTTGGCTTGGAAATAGCTTACCTGTTTTCGATAATTGTGTGATGCGTTCAAGTATATGCTTTATAGTTTTCTCCAAACCCTAGATCTTCAGTTAATCGTTTGGTAATATTTGTAAACAAAGGAAAAATGAGATAGATAATTAAAATCTATTTAATTTTTTAAATAGGTTTTGTATGCTGTATTCAAGAAACTTGTCTTTCAAGATAATGGTCCTTATTTTAAAAAAAAAATGTCTTTGGGCAAGGAGCAAGGCTAACACTTCCAGAAGATTAGAATTTAATTTTGTTTATAATAATTTAGAATGCCCCTCACAGGTGTTTACTAAATGCTTTTGCAGTTAAATATTGTGGTATGTTTTGTACAGTGGAAAGTGCTTTAATAACTCCTAAAGGGACAACGGGGTGTTACAGGCTTTTGTTGAGAGAGGAGATTCTCGCATGTCATCAGAACAATATGGTCTCTCTTCAAACAAACGAGAACTCTCTTAGTCCAACTGTAGTTAGAATGAATTAAGCTGAATCAGAGAACATTGTGTGTACGTATGTTAATATAAACTGACGCAGTGAACTTCATCTTTCTGTCGCAGATTGTCACACTGAAGGACAGAATATCCTTTTCACTGATGGAGAATATATTAATCAAATAGCAGCATCCAGAGATGTAAGTGTTGCTTTGTGATGGGTAAACTGTTTTTCTCTCAACTGAAGTGTTTTGTTTGACAATACTTACAGCTACATTTTGCTTAATATTTGGCTTTTTCTTCACTAATGCAACTAGGGAAGAAATCTATGTAACTAGGGATATTGAGAAACTGCCACATTTGTGCCTAAAGGAGCAGTTTTTTGGTATATCCACACAATTTTGATTTGTGATGGATTTTTCAAAGTTTTTTGATTTTTCAGGTAAGTGTTAAGAAAAACTTCGTTGCTCTTTCTGAGGAAAAAAGAATCTTACACATGGAGTAATGACTTTTTAACATATTATTCTATAGGGTCTCCATGGGATAAGCTTCTTAGAGCTTAATTATATTTTTTTTCCTAATTGAACTTCCTGTAACTACTTTGGTATTTGTTGGTGAATTTTAGCTTTAATTTAAATTTAATAGAAGAGATATGAAGCGTACTACATTCCAAAAGATTTTTATATGAAAATAGCCCTTGGCCAAAGCTGTGGAAACACAAGTTAGCGCTTCCATGAAAGAGTTCTAGCTATTGTGTATTTTGTTCAGCAGACAGTTAATTACATTCTTAATTCTGACCTGGTCACTATTTTTTGACAGTGAGAAAGCTGTAAAAGAGGGATGAGGCAGAGTTGGGGTGAGATGAGGTGGATAAGAAGTGACAGACACGCAACTATAAGAAAAACACGGTTAATCCATTTCCCTGCTAACAGAACAACCTTGTTTTTAAATATGGCCAGATGAAGATACTTCATCTTCACTTTTAAGCAGAAACCTATTTTAGCTGCTCTTTAAACGTCGGTCTTAAAGTGCATGGAGAATTTTTGGGTTCTGAATCTGGGCAGGTTGAGGGCTTAAAAGGTAAATGTGAATAGTTAAAAAAGCATTATTTCTGTAGCAGATTCAGAGTTAATTACTTCTGTGGCAATTAATGATTTTAATAATGTTCCTGCTGTTTTCATAGAGTTCAGTACGTGTTTAAGTTCTGTCAGATACTTCTCTTCAGCTCGTTCTGCTTGTCACTTTCTTCTTTTTTATTATAAATATTGCTTTATTAATGTGTCCTCTGATAATTTACTCTGAAATAGTGTTGTACTAACGCAGTCAGGCCATGAAAAGGAAATTAATGCATTTATTATACATGATAAAATAGATATAATTTCTTTATTTGTTGCAGGATGGCTTTGTGGTGCGGATATTTGCAACAAGTACTGAGCCAGTACTGCAACAGGAACTGCAGCTTAAGCTTGCAAGAAAGTGCTTGCATGCCTGTGGCATCTCACTGTTTGATCTGGAGAAAGACTTACACATTATCAGTAAGTTCTTTTCTTTGAAGGTTAATAACAAGCCTGGTAATTCAAATAATAAAACTGGTATGCTGCCCTTCCCTGTGTTTGCCTTGATTATGTGCTTGATTACACAGCTCCTTTATAAGCGTGTGGAGAAACATAAGGATTTTGAAACTGCTTTGCCGTTATTTCAGTTACTCTTCTGCTAGTGTGCTTTTCCTCTTTGAACAACTCTGCTGAGTCTATCCCGGTTGTGACAGCAAAACTTTGTTTGCCTTGTTAACTTCCTTAGAACTTGTGTTATGACGGGCTCTTTCTGGCAGATTTAGATCTGTAAACTGGTCTGTGAATCTACCTGGTTAAACTGTCCTGTTAATGCAATCTTACGTGTACAGGTACAGGGTTTGATGAGGAATCGGCCGTCCTTGGTGCTGGAAGAGAGTTTGCACTAATGAAAACTGCCAGTGGAAAGGTACTGAAAAATGTTCCGTTGCAAATAGCAAATTGCATCCATTTATTCCTGCATGGTTTTTACCTTAATTATGTTTTTCCACAATGCTTTTTTGCCTTTTTAGCATGTTAGAATGATTTTGTACGATTGTATTTAAATGTATTTCCAGAGCCCTCTTTAAAGAGAGAAAGGCAAATGGTTATTCGAAGAAATAATCAAAAGCTGTTTGATCCACTGAGAAACTTGTGGTTTGAATTTACAGAAATTTCTACAGTCAATCTTAGAGACAGTGTAGAGATTTGTTTGGGATTTGGGGAACAAAATTACCTTTTGCCTGCAAATGGTATTAGCTCATTTGCAAGATTTTTTTGTCTCATAATTTTCCATAGACTTTCTGACCATAGTAATTTATTTCAATCCCAGCCTGTTTTTTCTGATTCTTCAGAGAATTACTGACTTCCTCTATGCAAAGTTTTTCAATTAATTCCTTTAAACCTACTCTTAATTATTAGATATATTTATCCTGTTCAGTGGAGACTGTTTTTCAGAGGCACTTGCATATTCATTGAAATTTAGAAATAATTAGCTTACTGCCACTGTGACTTTTTACATTATTCACTGTGTTTCTATTTTGGTTTGAAAAACAAATGTTTATTTTACTTGTATAAGCATAGTCCTTTGCTGTCCTGTGTTCAGAAGTCTATTACTTTATTGGAGTGTAGGCCTTGCTCTGCTGCTATCAAAACAGTGAGATTGGTAAAAATGTTCATAAATAAGCTTGACGGTTTTTTCTAATAAAATTTAATAGTATGAAACAGAATTTGATCAGGCAGAACTTCAGGCATTGGAGAAGACATTAATTTGATCTTCAGACTAACAAACACCTCTTCAGTGTAAAATTAACAAACTTCCTAGTTTTGATCTCTGAAGCTATGTGTTTAGGTGTGAAATGCCTTTTAATAGTGCTGTTGAGCAGCACAGTTGTAGAGGAAACGTTTTAAGCCGTATCAGTATATTTGTGTTTGCTTATGTGAACTACTTTATTTTGTGTTACTGTTTATGTAGTCAGTAGCCACTGTGCGTTTGCTGAAAGGAAGTTTTACGAATGTGTTGGAGCATATTCAAATTTGTAGCAATTTGGTGGTTTTAATCAGTTTTTATTGTTATAATACTATCTTGGTTTTACACAAACCAGACATTTCTCTTAAGTATTTTAAATGCTTAGTTTCCTGAGTAGTTTATTCTGAACAGTTTTTCTTGTGTGTTCAAATCAAACAATTATATATGAAAACTAACTCTGTAGCACAGTCAAAAGCACATTTCAAAACAAGCAGGAACTAATTAGAATGTTTCCCCCATTAAGTCAAAATTCATGGATTTAGGGTAGAGATACTGAGTGTAAACAACAGCAGGAAAAATTCTGTATGATTTCAAATGACAGGATTTAAAAACAATGCTACTTGAAAAATGTTGTGAGTTTCAAGTGCTATGGTATAACTGAAAATAATTTAACTATTTTCTCCTAGATTTATTATACTGGCAAATATCAGAGCCTTGGAATCAAACAAGGTGGTCCTGCAGCAGGAAAATGGGTTGAACTCCCAATCACAAAATCTCCAAAGATAATTCAGTTCTCTGTTGGACATGATGGCTCACATGCCTTACTCGTTGCTGAGGATGGGAGCATATTCTTCACAGGTTCTGCTAGTAAAGGAGAGGATGGTGAATCAAGTATGTATTTTGTCTGCATTTTAACATTTTCCAAGAACATGTGAGCATGCCTTGGGTTTGAATTTTATGCCAGCCACAGGTCCTGACAACCAGTGCCACTGCCTCTCCCAGCTGACGGATGTTGATCTCCGTTTTACCACGATTTGGATTGTGTGGTGGGAATGCTTTTTTAGATTTGTCCTGGGAAAAGGCAATCCTAAGATTGATCAGGAGGCGATGCTGTCTGCCTGGAACTTTCTCTGAAAAACTGAAGAGCCAAACTTTTGCCTCTTCTTCACTGTTGTTTTAGAGAACTTTGGAAAAAGATGTTTTGCCAGCCAATGGTTCTCCATAATGGAGAGGTACATTGATTAGAAATTGTAGAAGCATGATATTCTGTGATTGATTGAGCAGGACTCTTCAAGCATTAGAGAAGACAGATTAATTTGAACTTTAGACTGACAAATACCTCTTCAGTATAAAATTAGTGTATTTCTTAGTTCTGATCTCTGAAGTTGTGTTCAGGTGTGAAATACGCTTTGTGAGACAATGCACGATGATTTTATGTGCCCTAAAATTGTGATACTTCACTATGGGAAACAGACTGTTCTGTTATGTTGTATTAGATTAATTTCAAAGAATAAAAGTATGAAGAAAATATTTTGAAAAATAGAGCCTCATGAGAATCTTAAACCTGGTATTTTTGAGTTGTCAGCCTCGTGTATACATTTAGTAGGAAAATGTAATACATATTTCATATATAGCATTTCATAGAGTATTGAAGTCTAACTCAAAATCAAATTCATCTATCAATGTTCTGTTTTAATGGTATAGTTTGATGTTACCCTGGAATTTAATGTATTTTTCCAGGTTTGTGGATAAGTTTGGTCTGCTAGCCATAGACTTTAAACACAGATTTAAGAGATTGAAATTTTTGTGCTGCCATGCAATCAGTTAGAAATATGATCAGTAACACTCAAGTGTTGCTACAAAATTGGTATAAAAGTCTTTGGGTGGTAGTAGGTGGTTAGAATTTAAAAATTGGTTAAAAATTTCCTTCGAAGGAAATTGCTGTCACTACTTTTGTTTAAACAAAATTTAGATGAGAAGATTCAGTGCTTACTAGATCTTCTTACTGACGAAGCTGCTCAAGGACCTGACTGAGATCATAGAATCATAGAATGTTAAGGGCAGGAAGGGACCTCTAGAGATCATCTAGTCCAACCTCCTGCCAGAGCAGGATCCCCTAGGGCAGCCACACAGGAACGCATCCAGGCGGGTTTTGAAAGTCTCCAGAGAAGGAGACTCCACAACGTCCCTGGGCAGCCTGTGCCAGCGCTCCGTCACCCTCACAGTAAAGAAGCTTCTCCTCATGTTGAGGTGGAACTTCCTAGGTTCTTCTAACTTAAACCCATCATTCCTTGTTCTATTACTGGGCACCGCTGAGAAGAGACTGTCCCCTTCCTCTTGACACCCACCCCTCAGATATTTATATACATTAATAAGGTCCCCTCTCAGCCATCTCCTTTCAAGACTAAACAGCCTCAGTTCTCTCAGTTGCTCTTCACAGGAGAGATGTTCAAGTCCCTTCATCACCCTCGTAGCTCTCTGTTAGACTCTCTCCAGTAGGTCCCTGTCTCTCTTGAATTGGGGAGCCCAAAACTGGACCCAGTGTTCCAGGTGTGGTCTCAGCAGGGCAGAGTAGAGGAGGAGGAGAACCTCCCTAGACCAGATGGACATGCACCCCAGGATCCCCTGGCCCTCTTGATCTTTCAGAGTTCTTTCAAAAATTCAACTCTCCTGACTCATCTGGTTCTATTTGTCGTTCCATAATTTCGCTCAGAATGGATATGCATGAGTTTTATTTTTTTTTCTCCCCGTGATTTATTTTAAATGGAGACAGGGAGTCTGGGTTACTGTTGGTAGGGTGTGTTTGTGTGTTGTTTGTAGAAAGCTGATAATTGTCAGCAAGTGAAAGTAGCTGGTGGTTTTTTAACTTTGGTGAAAGCTACCAGGCAGTGTGGGTAGCTGTTAGTTGTTTTATCTGGTCTTAAGCTGTTTGTTACCGTTTCATTTGAGGCCAGATGGCAAACAATTATTTTTTTGGGTGGGAGATTTACTTTTTTTAATGCTTTTCTTTGTGAGAATGTATTGTGATTCAAAGATTTCTCTACACATAGTTTTAGAGACTTTAGTATTTTTCTTCTGAGAAGATGAACTTGTGTAGCATTTCTCTATGAACTTATTGTACCTAAATGTCTCATATTCTCAGATGACAGTGAGGACTCTTTGTACTGTGCACTGCTTTGTAAAAGTCAGAAAATTATTTCAGTGTATATATATAAAAGAAAAGCTTGAAGAATCATTCATGAAAGATACCTGTCTAGTTATGACTTTACTTGCCATTGAATTTTTTGAGAGAAACCAGTGTAATACAATAAAAATTAGGTCAGGATTTCATACAAATGCATTTTCTTTTTTCAATAGCAATCTGAAAATTAACACTTAATTATAAAACAAATATTGTGCCTTTGAAGATTTTTTTGGTAGAATGACTTGTGACTTATATATTTATTAATCTATTTAAAGCTAAAAGCAGACGGCAGTCAAAACCATATAAGCCTAAAAAAATTATTAAAATGGAAGGAAAGATTGTCATATCTACAGCGTGCAATAATGGAAGCAGTTCTGTAATTTCAAAAGATGGAGAACTCTACATGTTTGGGAAAGATGCCATTTACTCTGATAGTACAAGTAAGTTAAATATTTATCTTTCAGGTAATTTCTCAAGTAGAGTAATTGAAATTAGTGTGGAAAAAATGTTTTAGCCTGTGGAAATCATGTGTTCCTCACTCTCCTTATATTTGGCTGAATCAGCACGAATTCAGACATTTATGGAAGAGAAGACAGTTTCCTTAAGTTCTGTAAAAGTATATAGCAATTCTGGTGACAAATACCCAAATGAATCCTTCATTAAGGAGAAAAAAAATAAATTTGTATTAATCTGATGCTAGAGGGCCATGCAGTGAAAAGTTCCAAAAACGAGACATGTTTTGTTATGAATAAATGCTGTCAGAAACCAGGCCGTATAAGTTTCTCTGATTACAAGACAGCCTGTTTTGCATTTGTGAGTGATATAAATTTAAATAAAATATTTAAGAAATCAACTCCAGTGATATTGTAACTCCTTTAGAATTGTTTTACAGAGCAAGTGATTTGCAGCAAGGTTCGATTTTCTTTTCTTTGCAGGATTTAAGGCTTAGGACTTTCTCTTTTCACTTCTTATTGTAGCACTTGTTTTTTATATTTGCTGTTTTTCTCCTTTGACATTAATTTAATAACTGTCTAGCAATTTTGTTACTGAGTTTCCTTTTCAGACAGAAAGTGCAATTTACTGTTGAGCTCTTTTATGTCTTACAGGTTTAGTAACAGATTTGAAAGGCCATTTTGTGACTCAAGTAGCCATGGGCAAAGCTCATACCTGTGTATTAATGAAGAATGGAGAAGTTTGGACATTTGGCGTAAACAATAAAGGACAATGCGGCCGAGACACAGGCTCCATGAGCCAGGGAGGAAAAGGTAAGGAACTTAGATGTAATATCACAAGTGAAAATGTAGTATTTTATTGTAAAATGTAACTCCAATTTCGAAGCTTAAATACATGCAACATACTTAAAAAACAACAAGGATGGATGCTTTCACTTCAGCTGTCAGGTATTTGGTGTTCTGAATTTTCTTGTCAATGAAAAGGCTTTTCTTTAAAACAAATGAATAAAACCGAACCTCATCACTTCTTTCTTACTATGTGCTGTTCTAGTAAGAAAAAAATTCTACCTTTCCTTTTTTGGATTCGATCTTGAGGCTGTTGTTTGCCTAAATAGAACATGAATGCAAGTCTGCGTCTTCCTCCACACAGTTGAACGTTTCTGTTACTCCTAAATGTAGGTGTGAGAAATCATACCTGTTCACCTTTGCTAGATTGAAATATTTTATACATGACAAATAGATGACCTGTTGCTTGTATACTGAATATAGGTGTTTTGTTTCCCTTTCAGTTGTTAAACCTAGCTGTATACCCCATGCTTAGAGAGGTTTCAGAAGTGTGCTGGCTGAGTGCGCAAATCGGGCATGCCTAGTCATTCCTTCTAAAATCTCATCTGCAAATGTTCTCAGAGCTTCCTCAGTAGCTGCTGTTGACCTCAGAAAAAAAAAACCACCACGCTTCTTGTTTCAATATCTTAATTAGGTTTTGGAGTTGAGAACATGGCAACAGCAATGGATGAAGACCTGGAAGAGGAACTGGATGAAAAAGATGAGAAGTCCATGATGTGTCCTCCAGGCATGCATAAATGGAAGCTGGAGCAGTGTATGGTGTGCACTGTCTGTGGAGATTGCACAGGCTATGGAGCTAGCTGTGTTAGCAGTGGCCGTCCTGACAGAGTACCTGGAGGGTGAGCAAATGGATGAAAATATACTTGCCTGTAGTATGTTGGGTGGCTAAAGTATATGTTGAATGTAAACTGAGTTGATGTGCTCTTAAACTTCAGTCTGAGGTAACACTGTATCTAAGAGTCTGTGCTTTTTGAATCAGAAATAGATTACAAATATTTGTAAGTAGTTTGTGATGGTTGCAGATGCTTTAGTGTTAAATACATTTTTACCTTTTTTGAGCATACAATTCTTTACTAGAAGCTGTTGAATATGAACGCTAATATAATCTATCTCTTGACAGAACTGCTGGCTTTGGGATAACTTTTCTTCATCCTATGATGGGAGCTTTTTAATCTTGCTTTTCCAGTTGCTTTTATCTGTTAATTGAAGGCTGGGGTGCATAAAGGGCCACTGCTTTACATATTGCCTTTGCTATTTCTCCAGCATTGCATGTGCTTATTTCCTTTTTGGTATTTTTGTGTAGCATATGTTTAATTAAATGAAGAAAAGTTAATGCCATGAAGTCAGTTCAGGTATGTGTGGGCTCTGTATGTTCCATGGCATAATGCAACAGCAGCTGAAATTTAAACTAGCTGTATTTTTTGTTTATCTCAGAAAAATTTCCATGTGCACAGACAGAACAAATAATGTAAATTTTCATTACCAAGGTGTCAGTAATGCACAAAAATAAAAGATAGTGATAAAACAACTCTTTTGCTGCAGAATCTGTGGCTGTGGCTCAGGTGAGTCGGGCTGTGCTGTATGTGGCTGCTGCAAAGCGTGTGCTAGAGAACTGGACGGCCAAGAAGCAAGGCAAAGAGGAATCCTTGATGCTGTAAAGGAGATGATACCTTTAGATCTCTTGCTGGGTAAGTGATATGAGATTAGCAAGATGCCTCTTCGTTTTCTTTCTTACTGCACTTGGGTGTTTTCCTCGGTACAACTGATTACGCTCTTGTAATAAACTCGATCTCACTGCTGACTTTGGAAACTTGAATTGGAATAACAGGTCAGTTTAGGCATAGATTTATTTTTTTCAGTTAATCTATTAGTATTTTGATTCTTCTGTCTGGTAAAATGTTGTACCTTAAATAATGCATTTCTTTCTTTCCAACAAAATTACTGAACATTTAGACTTACAGGACAGTTTTAGTATAGTATTCTCAAAATGGATTAAATGTTGCTTATCATGCAAATTTATTGGTGACATACCAATATGGGATCATTCTGGTAAGTGAAATATTTTAAACTTGCTCTTACTTTAGATGTGTGCCCTTTTGACATCTGAGGTTGTGATACTAATGCTTATGCTACAGAGTTTTTTCTTGTCCATTTTTGATAGCCTGAAACGTTTTCTATGATCTTTTTATCAAGATTTTATCGAGGGGAATATTGTTTCTTGAAAGCTTAGAAATTTTCAGAGAGAAGATGCTGCCAGGAATGTGGAAATTACTTTTTAGAAACCCCAAAACACCTCCTATCCCACCCCTCCTCCCCAAAAATACTCACCTTAGGGGAAGAAATACCAACTGGTATGATTATTGGAAACTACGGTTTGGGGTTTTGCCTTGTAAGATCTGTTATCACAGCATTTTTAATATCGTATTCTGTGTACTTATGAATGGGCAATTACAGGTTTCTGGAGATGAGACTTTCCTTCCTTACTCTTTTTTATATTTTTTTTTAAAAATTTTTTATATTTAGGTTTACATAGAGACCGTAATCATGCATGGATATAGGGATATAATATCTGGTATAGAAGAGGGCCATACAATCATCAGGTGGTGTGACTCAAAATATTTACACATCTCAAAAATTTACCTTGGCGGGGAGGGAATAGTAATAACACGCTGTACTTGAGTGTGGAATTTCTTTCTCTCCCCAAGCAAAAGTTAAATAGAAACTAGATTTGATTCTCTAGATAACACGAAGCACCCCAAGCCCTGATACTTCCATACAGATATTTCCAAATATGGTTTTCTTGTGCATGGCTGTCACAGAAGTAGATTTATACTGCTGGTGAATGTGGCAGAAGCAGCTGTGGTTTGTGCATGACCAGGGAGAAGTTGGGGGTTTTGTGTTAATCTTTGCTTTGTTGGCACCTCTCCTAGCAGGACAGTTGACAGCTCTTGGTCCTGTGCTGGACTTAGCATTGAGGGCATTGACAATATTTGTCTGGAGAAAAGTGACAGTGCTTCCAGGCTGGTTTTATTTGATGTTGGGAGCAAAGTGTATTTTTATATTTTTAGGTGGTTGCAATTTACTGGAAAAAAAAAATATATTGCACAAGGGTAGTGCTTATAGGATAGTCCTATTGTGTTCATTCAAGCCGTGCTTTCTGTTTTAAGAAGTGCTTTGTTTCAAATTCCTATTAAATTAGCAAGCTTGGTAATTAAGTCAGGTTTATATATATGTATACATGCATTAAAGTAATTGTATGCTTTTCAGTGAGCACAGAGCATATAGTGGTAATGCATTCTTAAAGTAAAAAGTATCTACCTACCTAAAATGTTCTTTAAAATACAAGCAACTTCATGGTTCTTTTAATAATAATACTTTCTGAAACTTTTTTGGGGGGGGAAATTGAGATAACCGTGACAGCATTCATAACTAAAAATAACTATCTGTATACTTAATAGAAAGAAAATACTAAGTAATATTCAATGATGTTGGAATTGTGGTAGATAAGTGAAAAGCACCAAATTCAGAGATAAGGCCTAAAACTCTTCTCCAAATTCACACAACTCCATTCTTTATTTCGAAATGCTGTGTCAGAGCCATGTTAAGAGCAGACAGTAAGTAGGCTTCAGTTTTTATTTACTTCTTTTAGAGTTTATTATCATCATAATATTTTTTAAAGATAGTTCTACATATTTTATTTTCTTACTCTTTGTAGCTGTCCCTGTTCCTGGAGTTAATATTGAAGAACATCTTCAGTTACGGCAAGAAGAAAAGCGACAACGTGTAAATAGGAGACATAGATTGGAAGAAGGAAGAGGTAAGTGACTTTCTTACTGAGGAGAGGCTTGAATGGATTAAGCCAACTTCTTAGTCTGTTTTCTAGGAATGGAAATTAATGAGTTTTGCTCCAGTGAGACCATACAGTAACCAAATAGAAATCGGAACCTAAATTAGCTAGCTGGTGTTATTTAGCATGCTTCTGGAAAATTATGAAAAATCTGTGTGTTCAGCAAAGTCTGCTCAGAGGAATCAGAATTTTAATAACTAGTATTTTATATCACTTTGTTTAGTTAGTTTTCATGGAGTTTTTGATATTTCCTAGTTGAATAATAATTTTTTCTAATGTAGAGACTAAAACATCCTTTTGTCATGTGAAGAGTTTATGTGCCATTTTATATGAAAGAGTTGAAATGACTTCAAACCTGTCTAGTGCTAGTTACCTATAATATGAATTATTTAGCTATTATGATTAAATTACTGAATTCTTGTTGTATTAGTAACATAATTTCTTTTTTTTATAAAATGAAGTTTTCTATGTTTGAATATCAAGAAAAAGTTGATACACTGAATTAATACACAAGATGTGAAAATTTTTAAATGACGTAGTGTTCTGTTCCTTATCTACCTCAGGAATTATCGTTGATTTTCCATATGAACATCATGTACTTTAACATGTTTTCAGTACTCATCTTGTTTTAAAATACCTCTGTGTCTTAATGTGGTAAATAAAGTTGAAAGGTTTAGACTGATATAAATCATACTATTTTTATGAAGCGTAATGACCTGGTTGGTAAGATTATTGTGTGTTAAGAAGAGGAACAACTTTATTGTAATATTATGCTTTTCAAGTTCCTGCTGTGTTGGGATACTCTTTGATAAAAAATATGCGTTGTGATCAAACTAAGTTCCTAGACACTCCATGTTGGTGGAGCAAATTGTAGCTTTATTTCACTTGTGTGTAAAAAATCACCGGCTTTACCACAAATAAGGATCAGC